CTTCAGAAAGGTAAGGTTTTGTTTTTAAATTTTTAATTTTGTGGGGGGATGAGGGTTTCTTCGGTGGGTTACGGATTAATGGTTTTCAGTGCATTTCTATGGGGAATGCATTTTTGACCTACGGGTTTTTCGACCTACGGACCCAATTCCAATACGGATTAATTCCGTAGGTTGAGACCCCACTGTACTTAAAAGAAAGGACTTGAGAAAGCCAGAATATTCCAGGCATCACTTAACTAAAGAAAGGATGTGTTACACATATATTACAGTGGTGCCCCGCATAGCGACGTTAATCCGTTCCAGGATTAACGTCGCTATACGGAAACATTGTTAAACGGAACTAAAAAGCCCATAGAAACGCATTAAAACACGATTAATGCGTTCCTATGGGCTTAAAACTCACCGTTGAGTGAAGATCCTCCATAGGGGCAGCCTTTTTCGGTGCCTCTGTCGCTAAACGAGGCGCCCGTTAAGCGAGGCACCACTGTATCTGCTTTATAACTGTGAATATCATAGATTATTATAGAAAGTAAACCCAGGGTTCAGATGTAAATAATGACAATTCTTTAAGGTAGACTGTTCACTGTTTCTCTGCATGCTTGAGAAATCTTGATAAATGCAAACTAGATATATTTTGGTTTCCCAGTTACAGTTTAGACTCTGGCAGTATACTTTTCAAGTCTGACCTTGCTTGGCTGGGAGTGATGGGAATGGAAGTCCAAGGCAGCAAGGGGACTGTATTGGGGAAGGCAGCCCTCCAGGGTTCTTCCCCAACAAGGTATAGAATGAAAAGTGAAAAATAACATTAAGAGCCCTTTTAATAATTGGGAGAACAAGGGCGAATCATTGGCAACTATTTGAGCGACTTCAGTAAATGAAAGAATGCTGCTATCTTGTATTGAGTGGGTTCAGTGTGTTGGCACAGAAGCCCCTGGAGTTAACTGCTCTTTCTCTGTCTTTCAATTCTGTCTTCTTTAGTACATGTTGTTATTTGTTGTTTTGCTACTTTGTTGTTTTATGTTAATGTTAATTGTGGATTACTGCCCAGCGTGGCCTTGGCTGCCAGATGGGTGATATATAAATCAAATCAAATAAATAAAATATAAGATGGTCTGTGATTTTAGTCAAAGTTATGTGGAAGGTATCAGTCTGAAAGGATTGAAGGGGAGGTGATTGCTAATGGGCAATTAAAATCTCATTGTTAAAGATTTGATTGCATAACTATTTTTTTTTCTTTTCTAGGAATTTGAGGATCATAGAGATGCAGATGATGCAGTTTATGAACTGAATGGTAAAGAACTGTGTAATGAAAGGTAATTTTTAAAAATTAGTTCACAAATTGTGATTCAGTCTTGCTTTTACTTGCTTCCACCTGGTTTGCACTGATACAGATACAACTGTAAAGGTAAAGGTTCCCCTTGACATTTAGTCCAGTCGTGTCTGACTCTAGGGCACGGTGCTCATCCCCATTTCAAAGCCATAGAACCAGCATTTGTCCAAAGACAGTTTTGGTGGTCACATGGCCAGCGCGACTAGACTTGGAATGCCATTACCTTCCCACCAAGATGGTACCTATTTATCAACTCACATTTTTACATGCTTTTGAACTGCTAGGTTGGTAGGAGCTGGGGCAAGCAACGGGAGCTCACTTCGTTGTGTGGATTCGATCTTACGACTGCTGGTCTTCTGACCTTGCGGCACAGGTGGCGCTGCGGTTTAACCGGCAGCGCCACCACTTAGATGCAACTGTAAATGTCATTAAATCCAGCAAGTAGAAATTCTCTTTGCAAGAATCTTTTCACGGGGTTTAGTTGTAACTGCATAATGTTTTAGTTGTTTCCTATGAGAATGAAGAACAGAAAGTTCGCCCATTCTTGTTAACAGATTATTGCTCATTAGAAGTAGGCCAAAATTCTAAAAATTGATTTCTTATATTGAATAGAGTATTCTGACTCACTTTGCTTCTATAGGTAGGCATTAATGAATGTACAGCATGTTCTTTATGTCATCTTCCCATTTTCCAGTTTGGTGGGGAACATGTGGCCTCCAGATGATAATGGCTACCATCATCACTGACCATTGTCTATGTTTGCATGAACAGACAGGTGCAGGTGTCAGTGGCTGAAATCCAGTAATAAGTAGCAAATAGAGTAGACCCATAGAATCAGTGGAATTAATGGAAGAGTTGACTCACCAAACCCTTGGTTTGGTGAGCCTAATCTAATTGAAACTACTTGGTTTCATCCAATATCTGGAGAGATACATGAATACTTTTATGAAACCAGAATTGTGTGTTTCATTACTGTAGAGTGGAAAGGAGTAAGATTGATATTAAATAAATAAACTACCCCTATCCTGTCAAATTTTCAGCAGGGAACTGTTTGTGTGTGTGTGCGCACACACATGTGTAGTTTCGCTGCTGTTATCTCAGTCTTTTTTGTTTCATGTTTGCATACTGAAATGCCTGGAGAGATTGAGAAAGAGGAGGAATTCTACCTAATTTGTGGAAAAATATGGATAAACCGAAGAACATCAGGAGTCCCTCCTCCTTTCTTGCCTTTTCTCTTCCTGCCTTTCTCTTAAGCCATCTGTTCCTTCTCAAAGTCTTGGTGAAGTATTAATGACAAACAAAATACCAAATTGGCTTTCTAATTACAGTGGTGCCCCGCATGACAATGATAATTCCGTTCCGTTAAAATCGCTGTAAAGCGAAATCGTTGTCATGTGAAAGTAAAAACCCATTGGAATGCATTGAACACCAGTTATGCGTTCCAATGGGGGGAAATACCTGCTCATTTTGCGAAGATCCTCCATAGGCGAAGCCATTTTCGATCGCTGTCTTCCGGAAATAGGTCCGAAAAACAGCGGGGAACCATTTTGAGAACCGCCAATCAGCTGTTTCTAATCGTCGTCCAGCAAAAAAAAAAAAACAGTTCCTGAAGCAGGGAACTATTCATCGTTAAGCGAAAAACCCCATAGGAATCATCGTTTTGCGATCACTATAGTGATTGAAAAAAACTCATCCTTAAGAGATTTCTTTGTGAAAGATCGCTATAGTGATCGCAAAAAACTCATCTTTAAGAGATTTCTTTGTGAAGTGGGGTCATCATCAAGCAGGACACCACTGTAGCTTCACAGTCAGGTCCTGAATGAATACAGTTAATAAATTCCTAACTCTCAAGGAGGGATCTTTTAAGTTGTCTTCCACAGCTGTGTATGTCTGAAGAAGTTAAGGTGTATTGAAGAGGAGGATATATCTCATTAACGCTGATCTGAATAGCCAAGTATATGCTTTCATTTTCTTTTGTTTGAATGATTTAGAGGGGACATGCCTGTTTTCACTACATTCATTCCCACCAGACAAAGATGGAAGTACTAAACCAGTTGTTTTATCCTCCCTTCAATTAAAGGGTTACAATTGAACATGCCAGAGCCCGAAGAGGAGGTAGGGGGAGATATCCACAGCGATTCAATTATTACCAGTCCTATGGGGGTGGATCTAGGTAAGAACTCTTTTCTGTTGGTTTGTGAAATAAGTATATTATAATGTTTATATTTTATCAGAGTGTTTGTTGGAATATTTTACATACTGAAGAACTGTTAGATATTTCACCTTCTTAATGCAGGTGTATCAGATTTCATTGTGATCAGCAGCTAGGTTTTTTCCAGCCCTCTTTAAAATTTTGTGTAGTGTCACTCCACATTTGTGTAATTATTGTCACAAGATTCTGAGCAATCTTCATTATTTGAATTACTGAGTTAAGCCATTTTAGTTTACAGTGTTATGTAGTATAGTTTCATAAAGCTTAAACTTTATAACTGATTTTTTCTAAATGTTTATAATACCCCAAATTTAGTAGAGCCTATAACAAAACAAAAATTGTTTTTGCAAACAGTGTCCTATAAGGTTGAGATTCTTTTAGAATCTACAGTAATTTCAGAATGCATGATATAGAATATATGTTTGTGGTGTTTATTTGATAGCAGAATGATATTACTTGAAAAATGTTTCTTAAACTGTTAAAGTAGTTACTTAGAGCTAAATCTATTTGGTAGTCCCAGTTAAAGCAAACCCAAGGAGTCAGTGGGATTTGTTAGTCACCACTAATTTAAGTCCCTTTGAGTCAATGGATCTACTCTAATTGGAACTAACAGTTGGATTTAGCCCCGTAAATTACAAAACATTTGATTTATCTATTGCAACCTGCTATTTAGAATCATCAGTCCATGAGATTCTGAGTGTATTAATTATTGATTTGAAATACTTAGCATTTTTGTGTTTTGTTCAGAGGCAGCCTTCTTGTCATCCCTATGTTTAAGAAAAACATGGGGAACAGTATATTTTGCATATTGGAAGTATGCTGTTTAGATTCTCTTTTCTTTAGTGCAGTGATGTTGCTGCAGTAAGAGTGATCCAAGGTCCAGGCTAAAAGTGAACTTTTAAAGTAGGATATGTGACTGACGTTCATGGGCATCTGGCGTGGTAGTCACGTTCATGACATCAGGCACATGGTGCCAGACAAGAAGAGACTACTCTTTCCGGTAGTGAAAAGTGGGACCCAGCCTGCCATTTGGGGGATTCTGGAACTTCTGTTTAAATGCTGTGAAGATCTGGATATTCTGAAAATGTGGGGCATTCAGAGGTATGCAAATGAGATGAAGTTGCCTCTGCTTCAGTATCCAAAAAGAGATACATGTTGGTTTTTGCATTTTTATGATATAAAAGAGCTATCACTTGAAGTGGATTTTAACAGCCAGACTGAAAAAACTAAAGTGCTGTTCTTTTGTTCTTCATACTGTGCTTTATAACACTTGGGGTTTTGATGACAGGAAGCCAGATGTACTAATAGAAAATAGACTAGGTAGTATCTTTTCTCACTATAGCTTGTTTAAATAGCACAGTATTGTAAAGTATACACTTCACAACCTGATTCTTTTCTAGATTTGATTCACACATGCGTGTTCATAGCTTGATGTAGGTCTGCAGGTTGTATGAACTTCACTTTAAAAGTCTAACATCAGGTGATACTCTCAATTATGAAAGCTTTGTGTACTGGTGTTGCATACAGGAACATCATCAGCTGATGAGTAGCCTTGTGTGAGCTGACCCCTTTTTGCCCTTGCTTTGATGATTATGCGTATACTTAGCTTGCTTTTCCCAGGCTAAACAGCAAGCAACTGCCTGTTAGCTTTGCCCACATTTAGTTAGAGGATGGTCAGTTTTTTTAAAATGTATTGTAGATTTTTGAGCAGACAGCAGTCTTTCAAAGCAGAATGCAGTTAAATTTCTGCAGAGAGTGGAAATAAACAATAATGGGAATGTGTTTCTCTTGTAGCCAGTATGGTCCACCTCTTCGTACTGAACACAGACTTATAGTTGAGAATCTTTCTTCACGTGTTAGTTGGCAGGTGAGTTGTATCTGTTGTTAAATATCATGAGTTTAATGCAAAACATGTTTTTTGTTTGGTTTCTTGAAGGGTGCAGGAAAAATCAAAACAGAATATCTATTAGAACCAAAAAGTTCCTGAAGTTCTTCAGTCTACACACCAATATATAAGTAGTATGCTTAATTTTTTTAAACTGAAGAGCTGATTAGTGTTTCTTGAACAACTATAATCCTCATCTAGTAAGACTTATGAAGAGTCAATTTAGACACCTAATCTTTTTAAATAAAATAAAGGTCTCACTCAATTGTAAGGTCTGCAGCTTTTTTCCAGTTTGTATCTGGCTTCAATAGAATGAACAGAATGGCCACATGATTGAATTATAGGATGTAGTCCTCATGGAAGAAATTTAATGAATTGTTTTATTTGAATTCTGGAGGGGGCTGTGGGTTATGTTTAGTAGTTAACATGTATTTTTGTATTATTGTATAATTGTGTTAACATTGTTGTTAGCCGCTCAGAGTGGTACAGATGTATCAGATGAGCGGGATATAAATCAAATAAATAAATAAAATAAATAAATTGAAACGTCTTTCTAGAAATTTAAGATTCATAGAAATTATAAGCTTAACAACAAGCTACTGTAAAAGATCTAATAACTCTCGTGGTTTTCCTTTCCTCCTGGCAGCAGCAAATTAAGCTCCCAGAAGCCTATGGAATTAAACATGAAAGCTGATGTCTCAGGAAGGCCACAGGATTCACCAAACTATAAGAGCTTGAAGGGACTTCAAGAATTACTGAGATGACACCCCACCAAAGCAGGAAATGCAGTCAGATGCATAATATCAAAGCCTGGGCAATTTCCACTTATGTACGTCAGCTCCCAATAATCCCCTAGGCAGCATTCATTGCCGTGGCTCCACTGCTTTTTATGCCCTGTTTGGAGGCAGCTCTGCAGTAAGATTCCAGGCCTTCGCAAACCAGCTAGGGAGCAAGCATGTCCCCACAAGTGAAACATTTACTTCAGTTTATACAATCTCTACGACATGTTGTCCAGCTGGCTTGGCTCTTTGGCTAATCATGTGGAAAAGCGCCCACCCCCCCCCCTTACCAAACAGCCAAATCAGCAACTGCATGTTTTATCATATACGTCTGGCTCTAAAAGGGCTAGAGATCTACTTTTATTTTAAAGAAAGCTTAGAATCTGGGTCAGGTAATGGACTAAACTGGTACTTGGTGGCATGTATAAAATCTGGGTAAAACTCATCCAACCAGGTAATATGGCAAATCTTGCCAAGTCCAAGAACAGTCAGAGCTCTTGAAGGGGCTTGGCTACCACACCCATGACTAATGGATATCCAACAGCCTTTCCT